CCAAAGTCCAGGAAACACATCTGGTGAGGGTCTTGGTGGTGGCAACAGTGACCCAGGGGTCTCATGTGGCAGAAGTTGGCAGAGCAAAGAGAGAGAGACTCTCAAGTGCTGTCCTTTTAAAGCTTTCAGAAACATGCCCCTGACCACCAGTATTAATCCATTCACTATGACATGGTCCTACAATCCAGTCACCTCTTCAAGGCCCCACCTTTCAATGCTGTAGTAGGATTTCCCACCCTGCCAACAGTGACAGTGGGGATTAAACTTTAATGACTTTGGGGGGTCGTTCAATCCACTATACTCATCATAGTAAAAAATATAAATATTTTATTGAAAGAAAAACATCATGATTACCTTGCTTTCCTTTCTTCACTCCTTTGTGAGTCTGGCTACTACATTCTGTTCCATGTTTTATAACATCTCTCACCTACTTCTCTTTTCCAACCAATTGTTAGCCAGCCTGCTGGTTACCCTTGTACAGGCTCTGTAGCTTTCTTCCTCCTCTTTGGATTTTACATGCCTTGAGTTGTCCTATTGAACATTTTCACTTCTATTCCTATATATGAAACTTTGCCCTTATGTTGTTTCACAGGAAGGCTGTTACCTCTGAGATTTCAGACTTTGACGTTTCTTTGGTTACCAATTCCTGTCATTCTCTCTTATTGCCTCTTTACTCACTCTTGACCTTCATCAGACTTTCCTGTCTTTGCTTCCTTCTCTTCTCTTGGTCTGTGCTTGTTTCCCTACTCAGTCTGCTATTATAGCTATACTTTCACTAAAAAGAATCTCCAGTCTTCAAACTTGGATAAATTCAGGCTTGTATTTTCAGAAGGCCTGCTTTCCACCTGTGGAGATTTACTCCAAAAAGTCACATCTTTATGTATCCAGGAAATATATATGGTGGCAAATATATTTATATATATGGAGGCTGGGTCTCCATGCTCTTTTTTCTATTATTCTTANGTTGTTTTTATTTTTCAGTGTTGAAAATGAGCCCATGAGCACAAGTCACAAAAAGGAAAATATACTCTCATCAGAAGCAGTAAAGGTATAGTTTTAAATTAATATTATTTTATATCAAGTAGATATTTTTAATTGCTGCTCATTCATCCTTTTAGATTCTGTTATCTTATTTTACATTTCAAAAAGAACACCATATCATTACTTTATGTGGAAATACAGCCCAGCTCTGTTCGACATTTGCATCATGAGGTGGGGTAGAAATGAGGGTGGGGGAGAAGGGCACTGAGAAGGGAGTTGGAAGAGTGGTGTTCTCAGCTTTGCTACTAACCAGCTGTATGTCTGAGACATATAACTTCTTTGTGCCTTCGTCCTCTAATCTTTAAATTGGATCACATGACCTCCACAGTCTCTTTTTCCTGGGCAGTTTTTAGATTTATGTCATGTTATCTAAAATGATGCAAACAACTAATAGTGCTTTTGGGGGGTAGAAGTTAATAACATGTTTCTGCATGTCATTACTATGTGATGGATGTGTTTGGTCAGCTCACTATATAAACTGGCCTTTGCCTGAAAAGGGTATAAGCTACACACCTGGAAAATTGTTGATGAGTGCTTGAAAATCTTTGACAATGACTAACCGTTGCAACCTTTCTTTTTATTCATAAATGATTTTCTAGAAATTGGATGTTTCTGTTGTTTGTCCAGTTATGTGATCACATTTTGGTAGCTATCCCACAATTATGGCTTTAGTCCCAGTTGCTTTCTTTTTGTATGATTCGTGACAGTCAGTCTAGGAGAGTTTGTATTTTATGGAGATTTCAGGGTACTAAATTAGCTTGGTCAGTGAAAAGACCAAAAAGTCAGCTGAATTCATTATACTGATATGGGCATTTTTGAACATTTTTGAAAACTTTATAAAGTCCAAGTTCATTAAGTATGGTAAAGGTAAAGTTGTTACAGTCTTTATTCCTACCTTCCCCATTGTATTAGTCTGTTTCTGCTGCTTATAACAAAATACTTGGAACTGGGTAATTTAAAAAGAAACAGTGTATATTGCTTACAGTTTTGGAGGCTGGAAAGTCCAAAGTCCAGGAAACACATCTGGTGAGGGTCTTGGTGGTGGCAACAGTGACCCAGGGGTCTCATGTGGCAGAAGTTGGCAGAGCAAAGAGAGAGAGACTCTCAAGTGCTGTCCTTTTAAAGCTTTCAGAAACATGCCNTGAAGTTTGACATTTCTCACCGTGCTTCCATCTTGTTAACGTGAATTTTATAATGCCTTCCATGATAAGAAGGAAAAATATGCATTTTCCCTCTCAAGTCTGAATCATAACAGATTTATGTATAATAAACATATTCTTATATATGTCTTATTGTATTTGATTTTGAGATACCAAATTGAGATGTCAAAGATTGCTGGTTATAAGACAAAATGAGCAACAAAAGTTAATTGTATCTTTAAACAATTAGACTACATTTTATATTATCTTTGGATATCATTAAGTTATTGATTCTTAACACTGGTAGCCACTTTGAACACTTGAATCTGTTCTTCTGCTAGAAGGTATTGTTTATATTAATCAGGTTTTTGTATCTAGCTGGAGGAGCTTCCAGATATTTATTCCACATTCTACCATTGTCATATAGCCTTAGACTCTTGCTGTGTTCACATCCACTTTTATTTAAAAGGGTGGAGGCATCCCTTTCTCCCTACCAAGGCTAAACTCCCTAAAGTCCCAACTCCTCACCCCCTATACCAGCAGTATTGGTGGTCTGTCTTCTGGCTGCCTCTCGTACCTTGCGTTGACTACTTCTATCTCTGAATCTTCACTGGCTTCTTCCCATTTGCCTCAGGTCTCCCTGTGTTTCTCTCTAAATATGTAAAAACAGTGTTTTGGTTTTTAAAATTTCTTTTGTGGGTCTGGTTTCCTTTTAGTCTGTCATACCACTTCAGTTCTACTTTTTACCGAAAAATTTTTTACAAAACTCTGTCTTAAATACGTAGTCATTTCTTAATGCTTTCTTTCTTTTTTTTTTTTTTCCTTTTTGTCTTTTTTACTGCCCGGTAATGGGATCGCAACCCTCGGTGTCGCGCCCGTACCGGGGACCGGCAACGGGATCGC